AGCATCTTCCATGCAAACTATGGGCGACAATGGACAATCTGATAAGAGACCAAACCAATCGCAGACAGAATTTTGGTGCAGCACCCTCTTTGCAACGAATTTCCCCAGCAACAACTCGCTAACTAGTCAGGGGTTTTATTTATGACCTGCGTTGCCAAGGAGTAACTGAGATATTAGCTAATCCAACATGAAGCTATGTAAAGCATAACACGAGCAACCCAACTGCAAAAATAATGGAATAAAATTATAATCGCAAACATGCAGAACATTAAGGCAAACTAAGCAGCCGTTATCAAGTTCGTGCTGACCACACCTCCAGCCATTACTGGGCATCTTTTATAGAGATTGAAAATGTGATGTCATTCTGGGGTAAAACCGCAAAGGATTCTGGGAACGCGTGGCAAGCAGTACTAGCACACACAGGCTTTCACATGAAAACAGTCACACAGCGATAAAAAGAAACACAAAAAATGGCGAGAAGCTGTTGCATTATTAACTGCAATAGCCGGTCGCATGACAGCAATGGGAAGCAGATGGGTAAAGAGATCATTTATGGGATTACGTCGTGGAAGAGAAATTGTTCAAGCCATGTTTCCGAAGTAACAAAGAGCCGACGGATGGCCTGGATTGCAGCCATTCGAAGACCAAATATAACGTTTCAGAACACTCCAGCTCACATGTTAGTCTGCTCCAAGCATTTCCACAAAGTTAAGTCTTCTGTTGTAGTTATTACGTAATTTATCATAACATAATTGTTGATGTAGTTTACAAATAAGTCATATATATTCATATATATTTGAATAGAAGTCATTGAGCTATGCTGCTTTGTTCACTGTGGCTTTGTGGGCTAATGTTTGTTGTGTTTTGTAGGAAAACCAGCCTACAAAATGCTGGAATGTGATCCAGACTGGGCACCCTCTATCAACCTGGGTCATACCGAGTTTAAAGCTGCTACCACAACCAGATTTGATCGGTTAAGAGAGAGTGAGATCAAAACAGCCACGAAAATCCCACATATATGTGCCCAAGGGTTGTTTGGAAGCAATCAAGTGATGAGTAACTGTTTTCTAGTATGCTGGTTTGCAATGTTGTTGTTGTTGTTTTTTTGTTGGGGTTTTTTTGCATTGTTGATTTGTTTTTTATCGAAGCAGCTAATAAAGTTAATGGAATACAATTTTGCCTCTTTCTTGTAAGATTCTATAATAGAATGAAACAGTAATGCAGTTATAAAGAAAGACAAATTGAATGAATTATGAAACACTTATTTTTTTTCTATTAGATCTGAAAATGTTGTGTAATACTACAACCTGAAACGACAAATAGATTGCGTTGGCCTGTACAGGAGATAAAGGAAAAGAATGTAACAACAGCTGTGAAATGGAATAGTCCAAATCACCAAAGTAAACTGGACCTGGGCTTGTTGCAGGGATCAGAAGTTAATAAACGTGAAGTGCATACACTCACACTTAGGACCATATAATAATAAATATGTTCGTGATGAAAGTTGGGCAGCACGCTAACGTCCTTACTCCACTCTGTATGCTCGTATGGGTCTGACCCTTTCAATCCTTAGATTTTTTCATCGTCCTTTTTTTTTTTGCCTTTTCGTCAAGTCTGTCTTTGTACGAACCTGCCGTGTTGTCCGTCGTTTTGTACACAACTGTTTTTGGGGCAAATAAAATGCAAGTAGGGATTAAAACCGCAGAATTAATGATTACCGGTGCTGGAAATACTAGCGCTTGATGCAGTGTTTTGATTTTGTTGCCATGGGTACCCACAAAGCAATGCACAAAGGTCACGTGGTCTGTCAATCTCTATCAGAAATACACTAAGAGAAGCTGGTGTGTTCTTTATACTTTAAGTGATAGTAGGTTGAGTTTGAGCTTTGGTGGCCAATTTTCCTTAGGACTGAAACATTTGTATGTTTGTATATACCTGTATGGGTCGACCCAGTCCATATACAGCTGTGGAGATCCAGGCCTCCCTCCTCAATTTGGTCCAAGATGGCCGACCATGGTTCTCTTCAAACAGACACCGCTCCACAACAGTCTTAGAAAATGTACAAAAAAGCCAGTTTTTACTCCAAACACAAACTATGTTCAAGCACAGGAAAAAGTATTATATTCAACTTAGTTAAATACTGAAAACGTTAAAACCAACCAGACTGTAAGAGGCCTTGTAGTTTTCCAGTCAAAAAGCATTTATACCTGTGTTCAGTGCAGTTCTTTAAATCCGCAAATTCATCCATTTTCTTGTCCTTTCTGAGATGAGCAAAAGTGGAGAGAATGGCCTCATTTAGGCAACTACCTCCAACCTTTCCAGCAAGGCATTCCCAGTCCAGTCCTGTTTCTGTCCCAGGTCTCCTCACAGCTGGACATGCCCAAAACCCCTGACCTAGTCCATCAAAGTCTAGATGTGCAGATCTCCTATTCAGGTGCTCAAACCATGTCAGCTGGTTCCTCTATTACAGTAGTTCCCAAACTTTTTTTGCTAGGCCCCCCTTTGTTTTACAACACGCACGCACACGCACACGCACAAACACATCCTCCAACCACACACACCCATATTTTGCTCCATTGCGGTTTCTTTCACACCTCAAACATTTAGTAAACAATTAAGCAAATACAAGTAACCTGCAATAAATTACAGGTAGTACTAAAATAAACTACTAACTCTATTACGCTACGTCCGCACCTACACGGGTATTTTTGAAAACGCAGCTGTGTCGTCCACACGTAAACGGCGTTTCGAATCACCGAAAACTAAGATTTTTTAAAACACCTTTTTTTCAGTTTACATGTGGACAAGGAATACAGAGTTCGTCACGCAACGTCAAAGGTATGTGCCTTTTTTCACGTCACGCTGTGCGCCACGTTATTGTTTACATGAGATGAATTGCAGAATGGCAGATAGAGACAAAATACTGTTAATCTTACTGTCTTCAGGTTTTACACACTAACATATACAAACGCAGTTACTGTCCCTCCATTTAGAAAGGCAGAGGCGTCACGGTGTGATTATTTTACTGTATGTGTAATAATATTCAACATTGATGACAATAAGACAATAAGAATCAGAGCTCTTATTGCTCTGATTAGAGCAATAAGAGCTCTAATCAGAGCGCATCTCACCATCAGCGTGTTGTGGTTCAGGTTCCAGGTCTTGGTGATGAGCGTGTGGGCCTGAGGGTCCACGATAGAATCTTCCAGGACGTAGACCGCCCGAGCCATGTGCATGGGGAAGACCCGCTCCGCCCAGCCCGGCAGGCGGTTGGTCTTCGTCAGCAGTCGCCTGGACAGCAGGTGGTTGCTGGAGGTGACCTCGCGGTATAGGACATCTTCCGTGAGTACATGGGTGCTGGTACACCAAAACAGATCTATTTTTTTGAGGACACTCACACATTCTGTTTTTTTTAAATGTCTTTTATTGTTTAAAAAAACTGAAGTTCTCCAAACAACACCCAGGGTTGATGCAGTCAAGATAAAAGCACTACAGTTTGGTCCACTTCGTCCATTGTCTGGAGAAAATGGACTAATGTGTTTTTTTTTTTCTTTTATTGTACTAGATAATAAGATGACATTTTTCACTGTTTTATAAGGAAAAAATATCGGATTCATTGATGAGAAATGACTTTGCATATTCACTGAAACAATCGTTAATTACCTGTATGGGTTTGGGTAGCGCTGCCAGAAGGCAGCCAGCACCTGATGCCACGGGCTCTTAATGTCCACCTCGCTGTGGAAATACCTCCCCATGTCGGCATGTACTAACAGAGCTCATTCAGCAGCTGCAGGAACAACATAAGAGACAAGTTATATTTTTTAAAATTTATTTTGTATTTAGTGTCATGAGTTCCTCTTCATGTTTAAGTTTGTAGAATAAAATTTCTGTTCCCGTTGCTATGAACACTCACTGAATTTGATCACGGCAAGTATGAGAGGATAGGACAGTCGTGCCAAAGTCCCCATTAACAGGACATAGACAGCTGATTGTGCCTGCATTAGTGCCTGAAAATCCGGGTAGCTTCTAACAGTGTGTTTAAATGACTTTAGTTTTCATACCACAAAAAGCTTTTCCCCCACAAAAAGTTTTCAGACGCTAGTTTTAAGACACCAAATGAAAACCGTTGGGGTGAGCACGTTTTTAAATATGCAAATGTTAACAGTAGAACAGAAAAGTTGCCACTTTAGTGAAAAAACGACTTTGCGTTGGCCGGGAATCGAACCCGGGTCAACTGCTTGGAAGGCAGCTATGCTAACCACTATACCACCAACGCTCACATCAGTGGAGGGGAAAGTAGGGCGACTTATCCTGTGACGAACACAATACTAGTACTTCTATGCAACGTTTTCCATCATAGCATTTGTTTACTGTAAAAACTGTTAGCTGCGACCGTTATTAGGTGTTGCTACAGCTCGAGGCCAGCATTGCTAATCCCTTTATTTTATAACCGCACTTCACCAGCGGGCTCAAGCTAGTTAGCTGTTTAACGCGGTCGCTGCTTCGTCATCGTCTTCTTCTTTTTTTTAATCTAAATGCTGGAGTCAGCGTCCGCGACTGCTAGCACAAACACCCTCTACCGTAAACGTCGCAGGCTGTTGTAGATGCTGAGGAAGCTAACAGCTTCGGCTAGCCAAGTAACGGACGTACCTAAAGCGCGTGTTTCTCAAAGCCCGGCGGACTGTAAGGGAGCCGGCATGGATAAACCACAGCAGCGGGGCAGTTCGGGGGTTTCTTTGTAGCAGCTGCTTATTTGAGACAGAAACAAAGAAGAAAAAAAAGTGGACCCAGGCGGTCATACGTGCACTTACCGCCTTTTTCCACCAGATGGCAGACTAGACAAGCAGAAATCAGGTCGCGCTGCTTGGTAAACGGTTCACGACTAAATCCACATGATCTGCAGACCGCATGAAGTTTGGAGGTCTGTGGCGACTCTGCAAAAATGTGGTGCCCTCTGTGCACTCACTCTGTCAATTTACATGATTTACATATTTTAGTCTAGACAACCCAAAATGTGACGTCCACATATGTGGACGCCAGGTTCTAGGAGGTTAAAGAAGTCCAGACGCTTTTCCTTCCAAGCTCCTTAGATCACAATACAGTTTCTCTCAATCTTTTAAAGTGTAAATCTGTCTGTACTTGCTGGTACCACTTCTGTCTGTTGCACTTATTTACTCTAGGATGGGTGTCAGCTAACAGAAAAGGAGTAAATACTTTTTTCCATTGTTACAAAATAAAATAATAAATAAATAACTATACTGTACAGGCAAAAATATTCTACAGACACTTTTCAGTTGTGAATTGAAGCCGGCCTGGTCAGATTTATATCAAATCTAAGTTTCAGGTGATATATCCTCTTAGACTATGGTTTAAAGATATAATGTTTAAGAGAATAAAGTTGTTATGATGAGATTGAGCAGTGATTGATCCCCTGGACTTGCTTGATACCCTGCACTTGCCACGGAATTCCTATCACATAAGCTGGCCCTGAAGACCTGCACTTCATGTTGTTGATGAAAAAAAGACAGTTGAAAAATGCAAGAAATGTTTAAGAAATTCTAAGATTTTTTTTCTTTCGCAATCACTGTTTAAACATAACTTCCAAAAGAGCTGTACAGGAAAGCAGTGTCTCCTGTCTGGTAAAATACCTTGAATTCAGTCCAGGTTAAATGACTCAATAATATGGGCTGCACCCCATAAAGTAAAGCAAACTTGTCTTGTTAAATTAGGGTGACCATATTTTGATTTCCATTTGATTTCCAAAAAAGAGGAGATTTGGCTAAGTCATGAAAAACTTTAATAATACTATTGCTTATAGAAAACTTTAACATATTTAAACGATAGGCTTTTACAAGTCAACAACTGCAAAAAAGAGGACGGTTGGTCACCCTAGTAAAATGGTGAAATATTATCCGTTCATCCATTCTCTTCTGCTTATCCAATGGGGAAATATTGTTTTTCTGAAAAATTCTCAATAAATTACGCAGCACAGTGGTCCCTCGTTTATCGCGGTAGTTATGTTCTAAAATTAACCCGCAATAGGTGAAATCTGCGAAGTAGCCAACTTTATTTTTATACAATTATTATAGATGTTTTAAGGCTGTAGAACCCCTCACAACACATTTTATACACTTTTCTCAGATGGGCACGAACATTTTCACACTTTTCTCTCTTGTTTAAACACTCTCAAAGTTCAAACCTTTGTAGAAAAATAAGTCCAGTATTATAGAATGAAACCAAAGACACCCGCAGGTGACTTTGACGGTGCAAAACGTTTTATCGACATTGTTGTGTTTGTTGGGGAGAAAACTTACAAACACACAGTACAGCACTTCAAAGTCACACTGGTAGCGATCGAGGATTTATTTAAAATTGACAAGCTGGACGCATTCTGTAATGTACAGGAGACACGGCACGAGATTGCTTGACAATGGTCTACAGCCAATCAGGATGCAGAACACAATGTGGTGGGGAAAAAAAGAAGAAGAAAGAGAAAAAAACCACGGAGCCCTGCAAGGGACATGGGAGAACAAAAATGAAGATGAACTTTTGCGAGATCTCGCAAAAGTAACTCGGGATCTCGCAAAATAGGCTGCCAGTAGGCAGCCTATTTTGCCTCTGATGGATAGGCATCCTCTGAAGGATCCTCTGAAGGATGCCTATCCGGCTGCCAGCTTGAAGCTGACGACCCAGGCGACAAAGGCTGGCCCAATTCGAAGGCTGCTCCAAATGTGTCCTTCATAGGCCAGCCTATCCCAGAATTAGCCAATTCCATTTTCTAACAATGGCGGCAGCTACTTAGTTTTAATATTACTCTTTCTGGGTCACAAAATAAACTTTTAAGATATTTTCAGGCGAGAATGTAGCTGTGTAAACTTCAAATATCTGCTTGGTTTATCAAGACATCACATATTTGCAAAGGTGCTCCAACGTTTTTGGAGATGTCTGTTACCCACTAGTTCAAAGTTTTGCGAGATCATCTTCATTTTTTTTCTCCCACGTCCCTTGTGGGGCTCAGTAAAAAACAAAGCATGCAAAATTGCATGCGAAACAGCAAGGCCGCGAAAGGTGAAACGTGTTATAGTGAGGGACCACTGTATTGAAAAATTAATTACAGTATAATTTGTTTCTCCTGTCGTGTAAAATACCTACAATTTAGGCCCTATTTAAAATAATTTATGCAGTACTTAAATGTAGTTAAATAAGAGTTATCCTCTTATTAGAGTGTACCTATTTTGCCTGGTGATTTTGTGTCATTATACACATTAGACAAAGAAATTTAGAACCAAATTTTACATTTCATACTGGTGTTTACTATAGTATACTATGTGTCTCTATCAAGTATCAGTGTCTCCTTTGTCTCCTTCTTCTTGGCTTGGTAACATGTAACAACTGAACATGTTGGCATTTTACAATTATCCCCTCTTTCTGTCAGCATTATAGATTCAGCTGTGTTGTAAAGTTAATAGGCTAAATAGGATAAGTGATGTGTCCTAAAGTATCCTTTAGATCAATGACTAGATGCTGAAAAAAAAAAAGAGCCTACCTCTTGGGTCGCAGTTGCCTTTGTCTTCCTCCACACGTACACGGTTAATTTTTAAAACAGCTCCCCCAAGTTTCTTTAAATAAAATACCCCCATCCACATAAAACTAAAAAAAAACCCATCTCAAGCGTTGTCAAGACCCAAACAAACATATAACCCTAATCTGACTGAAAATCAGAATCAGAATCAGAACACTTTATTGATCCCTAGGGGAAATTATTTTTTGTTACAGTGCTCCATTATAAACAAACATTAACAAGACAGACACTACACTAACTAAGAATAGCACAATATATACATATATATATACATAAAAGTCACTTATTAATAAATAGCTGAAAAAGAAACATGTGTAGCTGTAGCAGTAAACAGTGTGTTAAGTGGATGCGTTGACCCCCTGGATTGAAACAGGGGTCAAGTGTTTCCTGGTCTTCCTGAAGTCCACTATCAATTCCTTGGTCTTTGCCACGTTGAGCTGCAGATGATTCTGCTCACATCACGTGACAAAGACTTGAAAGACATCACGTGACTTTCAATCTGAAAAATGGTACGAAAGCCTTGAAATAAATCTGGACTAGTACACCCCATGCCCCCCTTTAGAGTCACCACTATTTGCTGGAGGTATCGCTTCCATATAAAATTTGAATACACCTTCTGGAGGCTTACTGCAGACTTTTTGCTGTGTAAAACAAACAGTGGTGGAGGGAAATGGCACAAAGTTTCCTTTTCTTCATGTCGGAGTTTATTGATCAGGTGGTTTGATGAAGGACTCCTGCTAGCTTTTTCCCAGTTAAGGTTTTAATGGTGATTACAGGAACAGGGCCTCTATTTTAAACACTAGAAACACTCTTTCTTTTACTCAGTTTGAGCTTACCATCTCATTAAAAAAAACTGTGGCAGCGTCATCATCACTGCTGCTATGTTATCTGTTTTTTTGTTTAAAACTGGGGGCTGTGTGGGCTTAATGTTTTCAGACTTTTTATTCAAACACTGCTCCTAAATACGTTCCTACTGCAGAGCTGTTTTTAGTTACAAGTAGGGATG